TGCAGATGTATTGACTCTCTAGGCCTCCACGACGTCCCGACCATTACCTGCAAAGGTATTGACGTTGAAGTTTTTCCTTCCCCGTGAATCTCTTCCACGAAGGTACTGACTTCGAGCGACTTTCATCACCGTAAAGGTAACCTAAGTTCTTGTCTCATCTTCGTCATACCATCCTGGACCACTAAGCCACGCCGAACCGACGCACGATATATACTTTGGGGAACAACATTTGAAGACACGACAATTTGAAATTTAGCCAGAACCTTTTCATGTACATACTGTAAATATTGTTATCTGTATATAAATTGTTAGAATAAAGTTTTATTTCCAATAAACTCTGTCTCCGTGTGTCTAAAATCTACCCGCTACCCAAACAAACCACAAGAGGGGTTACAAGAATACACTTTAGACGATTGATGGTGTTTTATTGACGTAGTTAAAATGCTACTTTTTACATAACGGTAACAAATGTGGTTTAATTTCTATTTGTCATTCTACTACCATGAAAGAGGAATATGAAACAATAATTTTGAAAAAAATTAAATACGATCATCAGTGGAAAATTTTTGTGTTTTATGTCTTTGGGACAGCAGAGCTAAAAATCAGCACAGGGTTAACCGAAATTGGTCTTTCAAGCAAAACAAAACGTAATCGACTAACCGTTGGTTAGGACCTATGAAGCAATTTATAAAATCTTTAAATCGATATGGAAATTGTTTTTGGGTACTTGTCACGTAAGTTTCCTGGGATTAACACGGAAATACTAAAAGCTGGTATATTTTATGATCCTCAATTAGGGCAACTTTTTAAAGATCCACAATTTACCACATCAATGAGACTGAATCTAACGCTTGGTGTTTATTTGTTCAAGTAGTACAAAATATGCTTGGGAATCATTAAGCACACAATAATAACAAAAAATTAGTGGGTTGTAACATGAGCATAAAAGTTCACCACCTCCACAATCACATAACTCGCTTTCCAGAAAATTTCTGCACCCAAAAATTAACCAGTAACAGTTAAAAAATCGCAGGCACCAAAATATCTATTGGCTTGTGTAATCAATAAATTACGTTACCCCTAATTGAACTAAAAATTTCCCCGGTGCGTCCCTGATACTAAACGACTTTTTTACTACAAATTTAAGACTGCAAACTACCGCGCAAAAATCGAAATCGACCCCCTAACTAATAAACTCCAAACTTAAAATTCATTACGGTTTGGATTTGTTTCCAAGCCACGGCTTCCACAGCGACCGACTGGCCATCATAACATAACATAACCTAAAAGTATTATTGCTTATTGCCCAGTAAAAGTCTCTTTGTCGACGACACGATGCAAAAAGAAGACAAAAAAAGGAGGAAGGAGTAAAAGGAATGGAAGGGAAATAATAATATACGACCGACGAAGTTGCAGTAAAAGATTTACTGTTGCCGAATTGTAAGTTTATTACGCTATAATAATACCGACATATAAATCAAATAAAAATGATACAATATATGTGAAAATAAAATGATGAAATTAATATTTTAGATCGAATCAGAGATTTAGCAATATCAAATGTAAATGTTTACATTTATCACCCTCTATCTAATCGATTAGCATCATTTTGATGAATATTATTAAGAGATTGGCTACACAACGCCACGTCAATGTTATTCAAATTATCGCTATCTTGTAATTGGAGTTGTAACTGAAATGACACTTGACAAATGGCGATAAATTCACAGTGCAACTTAAATTCTAAATTATTCTCAAATAAATTAAATTATAAAATAAAGTAGGGAACTAGTGAGATCGAAACTTTTTGCTTATCTTATTTTATAATATAATTTATGTTGATACAACTTTTTTGATATCTCTGTACGTTTTCAAAATATTAAAAAATAAATAGCGGAAAGAATAACAGGTTGTCTAACTGTAGGGGTTATATTATAACAAACAAAATATATTTAAAATGGACAAATAGCAGTAGTCATATTTTTCAATATTTTCTCCAAAATAAAGATTGCTTTTATTGGGAATTGAACCCGGGTTGCGAAATCCAAAGTTGAGCGCATAACGACCTGAGCCACGAAGGCTTATTTCTTGTTAATTATCTAATAAAATTTGTCCATCATCTTTAAAATGAACAAACCGTACAGAAGTTTTAAGGAAACAATATTCCTCAAAATTTCTAGAACAAGGTATACTATATTTAAACGATTACCATTCACCTCTATTTACGAATACAATCCATAAATCCCACGTTACAAAGTTCTTTGGAAATCTATAATTTATGAAATTGGATGTTTACCATTATGAAAATTTATAAGTCAATAATTGTATGTTTAGCTTTGTGAGAATTAAAAACATGTTTCTCAACTGTATACGAGTAGCATAAACTTCTAACTGATACAAGTACAATTGTCATTACATTCTTATCAGTATCCAAATAAACAAGACTGTTATACTTATTTTATTAGAAAATTAAATTATGATTAATTACCTACTACACTAACATTGTAGAAAAATCACAAATACGGTCCATGTAATTGTTTACACTATGCTGTAAACATACTTATAGAATGTAATTCCTGATGTTTTTTTCTTATGAACGTTATCTTTGCTACAACAGCTTCTTATATCACATGATGTATTATCTAAATTGAAATGGTCAACTTTTTGTATTATTAAAATTAACCTATTAAAAAAAAATATTCCCAATAAAACTGACTAGCTCGAATTAATTTGACACATGACGTAAAAGTGTAATGCAAAAAATGCAAGGGTGCAAACTCGTTTAGTAACGTTTAGTATCTCCTCTTTGTCAAAAATTGACAGCTATCCACAAACTAGAACAAATTCAAAGAACAGCATGTCTCATTATAAAAGAAGTCATAAAAACCACACAGACCAGAGCCATGTAAGTCATTCCTAGTCTCATCTCCCTGATATTTACATCACAGAGGTTACTGTGATGACAATGACACGCCTCCGCAGGGTTGGAATAAAACCTGATGGACTTTAACTCACCGAGATTTATCTTCCATAAACTATATAAAGTTATAACAGAACAAATAGAAGAGCCAGAAGTGGCAGGTACGATTCATATCTACATCACCGGTTCTAAAACAAAACAAGACAGAGGATTTGGATTATACCACACCTAAACATAAAATGGGATATGAGAAATAGTGCCAGTGTAGTTCAAACAAAGCTCACGGGGATTTTCATATCAGCAAAAGAAATCACCAGGAACAATATCACTGGAAAGAACATGCTCATCTATACAGAGAGCAGACAAGCACTACTCACCCTGAGCAGACCACGAATTTACTCAGGGTTAGTACTAGAATGTCACGAAGCTTTAGCCGAAGTAATCATAAACAATATGGTCATCTTAAGATGGATTAAAGGTCATCACGCCACATCGAAAGGTAACCGTCTTGCTGATTCACTGGCCAAGAAAGCAGCCAACCAAATACTTTTTGGACTTGGTCCTTCTATTGGCCTAGCACAATGTCAGATTGCAACCTCGACGAGGACCTATCGGTCAGGAGGGACAAGGGTTCACCTTTTTAGCTTTTTCTCTGTCTCATTTCATTAAAGAACAAAAAAGGTCCTCTCACGTAATACAAGGAAGTTCTTCTTCAAGAGCCCTCTGTCTGACCAGGTGCCCACTGCTTGAACGAGGGCATACCGGTCTTTTGGCCGGTAGACCAACGGATCTATCTGACGCTGACGTGACAAAATAGATGGTAATAGACCTAATTAAAGAACATTTCCTTGTGAAATACAAGGAACGATGGAATGAAACCAGAAGCTGCAGAGTTGCCAGGGAGCTTTTAAGTTATTAAGACAACATAACAGCAAACAAATACTTGACTATGACTTGACAGAATCTGAGCTTAGTCACAGGCATTCTGACGGTCATTGCCAAGTACGAAAGCATCTCCATATCATGGTGTTGTCAGAATCCCCACTCTGCAGAGGGCGTGAACAAGAAGATGAAACCATCGAGAATATCCTCTACGGTTGCCCGACGCTCTCATTTATTAGATTTGGGTTCAGCGAGTATCGGCTACATTAAATCTGTAGGCTGGCTCACGAGCTAAAAGGTGCCTATCATCTTAGGAGGATGTACAATGGGCCTGATGATGCCTAAGTGCCGTGGAGGTAATCCACCCTCCACACGTTACATTTCCTCTTTACTTTATCTCGATGAGGCATTCCGACGACTTGTCAAAATGGTTGCTGGAAGGCTTTGACAGGGCCAATGATATATATCATAGCAGATTGCGTTGTGAGCGGTCATATTGCTTCGCAAGTGATCATTAATCAGAATCGGTTAAGGAAAAATGTATTTTAAAACCAAATTTCAACATTTTACCTAAATTTTTACTTCAAGGTAAGTATGATATTATGTTGGGCATTTTTAAAAAACATATGATCAATCTTTACAATTGTATGTCATTGACCCTGTCAAAGTCCTTAGGCAGTCATTTTGTTTGAAATGCCTAAATACATACAGTAAAATAAACTTTTGTGTCTGAGTTTACTTGGTGTCTTCCCTAGTGAAAAACACTTTATTCAAAATCAAATTATTTTAATTTTATTTTATAAACAAATAAAATGTAAAGTAGTGAACTTTAAATTTCAAAGTTTTTGTTTTACATCAATAATTATGGCGGATTTGTTGACACTTTTTGGAATATGCAAAATTGATACATGCATTTATAAGTCCGCCCTATTTGCAGATCTGCAAAGTTGCAAACTGACAATTGCTTTTCTTGGTACGCGTAAATAACTATTATTTATACATGTTGGCAATCGAATTACTTAACATAGAACCAACTCTTTGATTTGGCATTGAATGCGGCTGCCATTTTCTGACTCGTTTGACCCTATTAGGGGCTCTTCAGGCAGAAGCAAATCAAAATTGCATCTATTTTAAATAAAGATGTCAAAATGGTTTATTTCGAGAAACTTCGATTCAATATTTTTTTGTTGCTTTGCAGATGCATCCAGTGTACACATCTAGCATGTACGGTGCTTACAACAGCTTCAATCTAAAGCTGAAAGAACGGGCAGTCAAAATGGCGTTCCGTGTCCATCCCAAAGAGACTTGGGCACTCTGGGCGAAAGAAACGAGAAAGAAGAGAAAACTGAAATGGTTCTACAAGGATGGAAAAGAATATGTACATTGTGTCAAAGATATGAAACCATATTGGACAAAATAAAATTTTTTTTAGAATGCTTTTGTAGTTTTTTTTTTTATTTTTCAAGACTAATGTTATTTTTGTCATGTGTAATTTTTTGACATTTTGTCTTTTCTTTCATTTGTCAATATTGTCACATTTTAAAAGTCTAATTAAAAATGTTATTTTAAATATGTGACATCCTGTATAAATAGTTTTCGATTAAATTAAATTCAATTATCGCCGCACACAATATTCCAAAGAAAGGGAAATTTCTTGAAGTGGGAGTACAGTTAACCAAACGATTTCGCATTAGATTTTTAAATTTCATTTACTATTGCTTTCTCTTCATATCTGGTGGTGTCTTGGCTGTAAAAGTGGTAAGCATAAAAAAGTATAATGTCGTTATAAATTATGTCGGTAGAAATAATATTCAAACCTTTTGTTAGTTATTAGTTTTTTTTGATAGTAAAGTTAAATTTTTTTAAATATGTTTTTATGATTCATTCTGGTTGCTAGAACGGCACAATGTTTATAGTCATTAGTTTTTATTGTATTTTGGTTCATTTTTAAAAAGTAGATGTTTCAAATTTAATTTATATCTCGTACAAGAGCCACGTGAAAAACAAAATCCATTTTTCTTTAGAAAACGAACGAATGCAGCTGTAAACTAAACACTATAAAGCTAAACGCTGGAAATTAAAGCTGGAAAATTGATCGAGGAAAACTAACTGGTAAAAGCCGACAGTTAAAAATCACAAAAAGTTACAAAGAAGAACGAGAACAAAGAAAAAAGTATGCTGTTCATGTTCGAGTAACCGAAATATGGAAATGCAAGACTTGGCGTTGGTTCCCGATTTGCAGAAATTTCAACTACCTCCGAAAGAAGTTGCCAGCAAAAAGGCAAAAGTGGTAACTACTAGTGGCAAATTTTATGTATGACGAGATTAAAAAATTAATACCTGATAAACTTTAAATAATTGTTTCTGAACAGTTTCTTTTTTTATCTAAATAAAATAGTTCATTTTTATAAGTATATGTGTTGAATCTTATTTTTTATAGGTTATAACAATTCTCTTCTACTCAAATTAAGTTCTATATAAGTTTTTATTAACTTCTTTCTTTGATAAAGCTAGAGTTTATAATTCTCACTAGCTTTTAAAAATAAAAAAAGAGAAATATTGGTGCCCAACATTTCCTAGAAAATTATTACCCCAAAGGTGTCTATTAGAAAAGCCGAAATATGGTCAATGTGCTCATTTATTTCTTTTAATTTTAAAAGGTAAGTAATGTTTGATATTAAATTTCACTGAGCTAGTAAAAATCTCTTTATAAGTGTTTTGAAATTAACATTTTATCACAAGCAACGTAATATATTGCAATATGTCATTTGTACTGTTTTATGTTACCAATCATTAAAGAATGATAAACAAAGTTGTAGGTAATGGAGGGAGAACATCTTCCAGCCAAATAAATCGAAGGACAGTTACCAATCTAGTTAATTTACTGATCTGAGATTATTACTGTTTATTACTATTTGTTTACAGCATAGCAATTTAAGAACGTTTCTCAACATTCTTTGATTAATTGATCTCTAGAACGTGTTGTTACCTATTTTGCGGCACTCTCAAAGAAAAAAATTAACATTTCAATTAATTGTTTTGTACGGTTAAAGAGTTTGTTACGCCACTGCGAATGAAGTGTTGTGCTCGTTGCCTTCATTTCCGTCGAAATCTCACCTCTACGTCTAGAATTGTGACCTGTCAAGCGCAGCTTTCGGTAATATGACTAAAACTCGTATATCCCGAATTCCTTGAGATTGACGGCAATACAGATTGGATCGGTTTATATAAAAATCCGAAAAGGAAAAACTTACGCACATGCTATTGTCAGTTTTGTGTTTTTCTTATACCGTGTCGTGGTGCAGAGTAGTTTTAAATGGTTTTTGAATCATTTATTTTACTAAAATTGACTTAAAAGAAAAGGAAACTTGGAATTTTTATATTTCAGAAAGTTCCCATAGTAAAATGTCCATTTTTACAAGCAAATGTAATAAAATTTAAGTGAATACTGAGGATACTGGGTCAATATCTCTTATAAATCGTTACAACTCTTACTTCAAGTTGCAATCAATAAGAAGTCAATTTATAGTTTTTCTTTTTATTCCATTAGTTTCTGAGTCAAGGTTGTGTTTTGTGTTCCACCTAGCCTTGTCATTTCCCTTTTAGTTTAGAAGCTGGAGTTATGAAGGCTATACAACCTGTTCTTAAATAATTATTATTAATATTTGATCTATTCCTAGTGACACCTCAAAAAGGGACGAACCAAGATAATATTTTACCAATAAAATTCAAGGCTCTTTGTTTTTTGAATACTTTTAATTTAATTTTAGCCAATCTAGGTCAATAAAAATTAATCTTTTAGCTCAGATAATCCACATAATATGGAATAACTCCAAATTTAGTACTGCCACCTCGAGTGTTTGACTTATACTCTTGAGTCTTTGACTTACTCTCTAATGATTGACTTACACTCTCAAGTGTTTGACTTACATTCTCGATGGATATGAAACTAAATAAGAATAAATTGAGAACAGTTCTTTAAGTCCAAAAAGTAATTGAGTTTTTGACCAAACTAGCGATATTTTAGCAAAAACAATATTTCTGCTTTTAAATGAAGATTGGTCATCTCTATATGCAAGATTTGGACCAAGAATTTGATTACTTTTATAAGAAATTCTTAATTTATTTTAATTCATGTTTCTCCAAACGGAAGTCATATTTTTAAAAAAATAATAAAAAATGGATAGATGCTGAAGTTTTGGCATCTAGTGCAAAATTAAAAGGTCTCTTTGCTTTACAAAAGATAAATACAAATTTTAAGGAATTTTATAGAGTATAAGAAAATTCATTCATCAAGATCATATTATTAACTCAGACAATACTGCCAAGGCAACGTGGAACGTTGTATTGGAAACGACGAATAAGCAAAGGTCATTGAATAACATTGTTATTAAGAAAAAGGGATAAATTGGTATAGAACCCACATGAGGTAGCGACAGACTTTAATAATTTTTTTATGAACGCACCATTAAAATTAGTTGATCAAATAGATCTATCAAGTAAAATAAACAAACCAAATTTAAAAATAAAAAATCATCAAGTGCAGACGATGTGCCCAGTTATATTATAAAAAAAGTCACTCGAAGATATTCTAGCCCCGCTGACATATTCAAATCTGGTGTATTTCCTGCCAAACTACTTACAGGTAAAGTGTTGCCATTATACAAAAAATGATTCGATGTCATTATAGGCCTGTAGATTATCTAAGATATTCGAATATGCATTTCTAGATCGCCTTTTATCATTTTTAAAACGACATAAAATTGTTACAAAAAAATCAACATGGATTTTGCGCAGAAAAGTCAACAACAACAGCTATGATCTTATTTTATAATCAGAATATTGAACATATTGAAGCAGCCGAGTGTCCTATGGAGATATTCTGTGATTTAAGTAGGGCATTCGACTGCGTCAATCATGAATTATTATTTTCTGTACGGAATTAGAGGCATTTCTTTAAAATGAATCTCTATCTTTCTTAAAGACCGACAGCAATATGTATTTCTAAACTTTAAAATAGACAACAAAACTAAAGAAACTAACTCTAATTATTTAGATACACATATGGGAGTTCCACAAGGGTCAATTTTGGGGCCAATATTGTTTCTTTTTATATGTCAACAGTGTAGATAATTTAATAGGTAATAATCATTATGTTACGTACGCTGACGACTTTTCTGTGATAGTTTCATCAAATAACAGTGATGCGTTAAAAGTTAAAAGCTCTTCTCTTTTACAAAAAATTTCTAACCATTTTAATAGTTTAGATTTGTCTTTTAACATGAAACAGACCTCATTAGGTTTCATAACAGGCAGAATATTCCAGGTAATTGCAGTATTGATAGATGTGACGAAGTCACTAAATTTTGCTCTCAATTAATTTAAAAATGTATATTTCAATTAATTCCCGCCTGAGAACATGTAGAAGTATTTAGGTTTCCCAGGAATTACCGTTTTTCAACAATTGCGAGTACCCTCGTAGATTAAAATATTCCTATATTTGCCTAAATCCGAATGGGTATTTTGTAGAGTCGATTTCGTACCGATTATCTACTTTTATTTGTCAAGGTACTAGAAGGACATTTTTTATATTTATAAATTGTAAACAGTCGGCTGTAGTGGAGGTATCCCCCACCCGGGCTTACTGGTCTTCCATCTTGCCCAGCGAAAAAGCATAAATTCGATGATATCTGGGAATTACCCTCTCTTGATTACCGACAGCCGAAAACTATTCGCTCTTCTATAGTGCATAGTAAATTCTCCGTGAGTGACTGTAATATCAAAAGAATATTGAACAACCTCGTTTATTTTTCTAAAGGTAGGAAACCGCTTATTATTTTTTTATTTACAATTAGTTTGGGATACCCGTCCGACAAGTGAAATAATTTTGATTCATGACCAGCATTTTTCATTTCATCCCTTAGTGGGAAACCGTTGGCAATTTTTTTTTTTAAGAAGCACTCAGTATTTTTCATGTAAGTTTCTCTTTTCTTTTATTTATTTATTCAATTGTATTTGAATCATTCCGTTCCCCGTCCACAATTAGTTATTTAATGAAGCCAGACGACTTCTGTAAAATTAATGTGACGTTTGTTTATTTTAAACAGTTTATTTATTAATAATTTATTTAAAAACTTATTTATTTTATAACACTACTATTTTAATTTATATATAGTTCGAATGTCTTTGAATCGTTCACTATTTCTGTTCACCACTGTCTATCTACTAATTACTATTTATCTTCACTGTCCATATAATAACTAACTGTCGCTTGGTCCTCCACCAATATTTATATACAAATTTAAAGAAATTGGCGAATGTGCTAGAAAGTTCGCCATTCTCACCAATACACTAGAAACATTCTCCCGTCCTTTCTCGAATAGTCATCGAAAGCACCTCCGCCATAGCTGTCCCATGGCTTTGGTCTTAAGGGGTTT